TATCTCCCAGGAGATCGATGGGGTAGGTTTTAGTAGAGTAGTGTAATTAACTACCTATTTCTCACTCGCGATTGGTGTAGAAGGAGAGTTGGTACAAGGTTCTATGGTTGTAGTGAGACAGAAGTGCCTTTTAGGTGTGGTGCGGTAGTTCCCGTTGAGGAGTTCTGCAACTCCACATGGTCGACTTCCATCGGGAGGTTTCCCGGGATGTGGAAAATCAGGGCAAAAGAAAGTAGTGATGGGGCAGAAAATTATCGTACGGTGTTTTTCGAAGTGGCTATCATTAATTTCACGTGTCAACAACTGGTAGTTTGAATCGAGCTTGGAGCTGAGAGCTTCCCATTCCCACGATAGACTTCCAAAAGACTCTCATACATGATATTTACTAAAGATATGCTGTTGAGATGCCTGTCTAGTTGGCCTGCGCATCCATGCTCGTCCTACACTATTGAGCTGAGTCGATGGTGACTATACCGTTCATTCTCGAATAATCCACTATCCCCGTATTTGTATGTGGTAAGTCCGAACCAAGGCGAATTGGCGTATCAAACTTCACGGATTCACCCGGAATTAAGATTTAGCGAAGCGGGGATAGTGGATTTCTCGAGAATTAACGGTAGTCCTAGGAATTTCAGTAGTCTGCTAATGTCGAACAGAGTTGTAAAGAGTACTACTAGCAGCTCTTTATCATGACTATTTACTGATTCTAACGATTCTCGTCTACAAATCGACCCACTGTAACTAAACTTACGCTCTTTTTCTCTTTCCTGTACTCTCAAGACTACCGACCGCATCAAAACATGAAGATAATTCCTCACCGCTCGCGTCACTCAGGTTGACCCCACGACACTCCCGTCCCTCTCCCGATATGATGCTTCGTCGATATGCTCCATGATCTTCACAAGGGAAACGGTTGACCCCTCGATAGGGTTCTGTACACCAGATTATAGATAAATGCTCCGGCCAATGATAGTACTGGAGGAAATCATTACCTTGTAGTTGAACCGAACTCTCCGTACCTGGGGATATGGTTATGAGCGGTGTGAGCCTTGTTCGATGCGTGCTGTCTAGAATCAGCTAGATTATCCGCTGGTATCAGATAAACACGTTAAAGCCAGGAATATCATGTTCTGCTCTATGTGTGTACGTAGCAATGCTAGAGATATCTTATTAGTATTTTTCGAGTTAATATATCCCATATTTCTTTCTCTATCTCTCCAGCTACGCTCAGAGCATTGACTGTACATGAAGTAAAGTTCTCTCCCTCTGTCCCCGTGGTGTGAATTGATGACATACTCACAGCTCAAATGACTCTTTGCCGCCAAAAGCAGGGATCTCTACGAATCCCGAAATATGCCTGAGCTTTACCAAGGTTCAGCTCGTCAAAGAGGTAACGTTTTTGACCGAGTACCGTGTCAGACCTAGAATCGGGTCGTATGGCAACAGCACTAAAATCTTCACAAAAATCTTGGAGGCGAAAAGGCTCGGCAATAACCACAACCAAATTTGTATGGTAACGACCCGATTCCCAGTCTGACACGGTACTAGGTCAAAAACGTTAGTAGCGACACCTGGTAACGATAGTATCAAGGATAACTCGTTTGAGTAAGAAAGAGAATTTCCAATTTCTGGTGCGAACACCGTCGTGACCTTGCACGCTAAATAGGTAATAGCACCAGGTAATGATAGTTTTGAGGGAAATCTTTACACATGGGTCGTCGAGCCTACCCGGCAATGCTCTCATCCCCGATCGACTCCCATCATTTCAGAAGAGCTTCATTTTAGTATTCTTTTACGAGAAAGCATTCAAACCCGCTCATGTCAGACAATGCTGGGGCAGAGCATATGCATGTACTCCTCACTTTGGCACGGGAAAAACGCTATTTACTCACCATGACGAACCGATTTCTTAGCAATACGCCGTTATTGTCAAAATATTCTACCGAAGCCAGGTCTGTAAACTCTTACCTTTCCCTTGATTGATATGCATATGGCTGCGAGCAACAAAACAAAAGTAATCGTCAGCCTATCGTTTCAAAACACTCATACTATGCCTGAAAGCCCCCGGACCAGAGCACTTCAACATATCACCGGTCGCCTTAGCAGCTAGAGAATTCTGAATACCGCAACAACTGAGCAAAACTTAGATTCGTTTCGGACACTGAGTTCGATATAAAGGAAGTATTCCTTACACTTACCTCTTACCTCTCCGATAACAATAATCAAACCAGTCTCTCCCCGCAGTATAACTAAGTAACCCCCGAGTCTACCCTCAGTGCAAGTCGGGTCGACGGTACTCTCTGTAATGATATCGGGCTCACATATCATGCCCAAAACATGTATGATCATTTTTTCGGTATTTCTCTCCACGGTTTTAATCAATTCGACAACTGACATCTCATGCCATAATGTGCTTTATTATTCGTCGCCAGTACGAGAATTTTATGTAGAAAGACTGTAGAATCTGAGTCTCGACGGGCTCTGCGCTCCATGTTTTTATCTCTTTTTATTGAATTTAGCTGTTTAGGCGTTTAGGACAGGAATGTTGTGTGTGCGCTGCTATGGGAAATAAGCCACTAATCAGACTCAATTCTCCAACCCTCATACCATCTCGCGGAAAGTAAAATTGAAATCAAGATTCCTTTCGCCATAATAATAGAGACAGTTCAATATCAAATAACAGCTAATAGGGTGTCCATGGAAGCCGTGACAGGACACCCAGGATTTTATGGGACTCTCTGGCGGGGAATTGAACCCCGGTCACTCGCGGTTCATGAAATGACAAGCGAGTATACTAACCACTATACTACCAAAGATTGCTTGATAAGCTGATGCACACACAACATTCTATCGATTAATAATAAGCTCAGCCAGATTACTGGTTAAAAAAACCAAGCAAGCAAAAGCAATGCGGGAAGCGCAAAAATCTCTATAATATGGCGCGAGAAGCCATGGGGGGCGGGTGTCTCAACTTCAGCAAAAAAATATTGTTGCCACTGTCCTTTCCAGCTCACGTAAGAAGGGTGGGCCGTGGTGTTATTAGTAAGCGAAGTTGTTGGACTTCAGGTCAATGATAGCGAAGCAACACAGGATTGCCCTGGGGCTTGCACAACACCGAGTACATCAAATCAAGTTACGATTGAAAGTGTGGCCCCATATTATTAGGCCCTTTGCGCAAAAGACTCCAGCTCTGTCTGCGCAAATGGCCTATTATCAGTAAAGCCATAAACCTTGCTCTATCTATTATTGCTACACTATATATTTGGCAGCCGTAGGGCTGACCTCGTACCCAGTCTAGTATTTGTGGTTGATATGCCAAGACTTTCTGCGAAAGTTGGCGTAACCAAATACCAGCCTGGTGCAACTCGTTTCCAAGGAGCTCAAGTGGTTTCCGGACAGCGTCCGGAACCCGTTAACGCATTCCGGTCCAGAAGGCACCCAGATATTTCGTGTTTTTGTCAAGTATAACTGCATCAGAATGTATAATACACATCGGATATCATCAATCTATATTTCTATTTAGTTCCGGACAATATTGAGGATTTTACAGCGCTATTTCAGTTCTCCAGGAACCCAAATTTGGTTCCGTGACTGTCCGGAAACATTTCGCCGTTCCGGTTCAATCTTGGCGTCTTGGCATTACATCTCCATACAAAAATTTCACGAGTCGCACCAGCCCCAAACTTTGGCAGAAAAATCACATGACTGCCAAGAAGTTTGGGGATGGGGTCGAGCTCACCGTAGGGCCTGGTTATTAACTGCGCACGAACATCACTCCTTTAATCGGGAAAATGCCACAGAAAGCCACAGGTGCATGCTGATTACAGACGAAGGGATAGGATCGGCCAGCATACATATTTCTATTAACTTACTAGGGTACCTGTTATATAGCCAAGACTTATAACGGTGCAGGCTATTTCTAATAAGTATATAGATATACCGATATGCAATGTGTTATTTAAAGGTTTTGATTGGCCAGGTTTGAGGGGTTTTCTTTTTCTCTATCAAATATGTTTGCCAGTAAGTAGATATTCTATCAAATATGTTGGAGTTAGTAGATATTCTATCAAATATGTTTGAGTCAGCCAGTAGATATTGGTTCCAACATAACTTGAGTCAACCAAATAGTATATCAGATATGTGCACAGGGCATCTTGGGGTTTCAGTGATCTTAAGCGTTGGTAAACTGATATTGTTTAAGCCATAACAGTTCCTACTCCGGCCAAAGGCCGGTAAATGCTTGTATTATATAAAGTTAGAACATACCAGCCAATGCTGAGGGTAAGTGATCAGAATCCGATAAGTGAATGTTGCGGTTAATACGTGTATTTGTCTTATCACTTTTCGCTACCTCTATCGTGTGGCTTCGCCACCGCCACGCGCCACAACGGGGAGGACAAGTATGTAGCTTAGTTAGCACTCATTACACAGTACCAAGACTTTCTTAACACGACTGCACTACTACTAGTAGTGGCCCAGCTCGCGACCGCGAGTTGTACTTTGGATTATGGGTATCAAATCATGGTGGAATCGGAGGCCTTCAATGGGGGTCCTCCTCTCGTTAGTGAGTGCTCAGTAGAGTACTTGGATGCGTCGTGCTTATTAAACCTCCCCTGTCGCTCTCGACCAATCAAATGCCGTTTAGAAAAATCGTTATTTGTATTATTTATATGCAGAGTGGCACCGCTCTGCCATACAAATAACCCTATACATATTGCATATTCTTAAACAAGGTTTAAGTAGCTAACTTATCCAATAAGACAATAATTTTACCCCACGTTATACCCCCATACCCAAGTACTAATGTAGATGAAGCTCAAAGATCTTAGCACATACACTTTAACTCCACACACCACAACACAGTGCGAACCCCCACCACTCAATCCTCGCTCAAGATGACCTTCTCCAGCATCACTTTGGGAGATCTGGCTACCGAAGCCTCCGCCCTATAGCAGGATCGCGCTGAGTTGCAGCATCATGTTAGGAATGTAGGCAGGAACATGGCTATGCGCAAGAGGGAACTTCTGCAGAGGTTACTTGATGATGAATCTAGAAAATATGAAGGAAAAGATACGGATAAAGCAAACCTTCTGTTGGACCTCGTCGCTCAATTCGTCTTGGTCGAGCCAAAAGTTGAATCCGTACGTCCCCCTTTCCATACTCCCCTTTGCCTAGAACAATTAAAGTGATACTAAGGTGTCCATTAGATCGCCGCCGGGGATATGGATAACAGGTTTAAACCCTGCCAATATTCACACCCGTATCTAAAGGCCACCGCAAAGACCGAAAATGTGGTAGAAAAAATTACTCAATTCGCATAACCATGAGCACCCCGCCCAGACCACGGAACCTACTATGTACATCCCTTGAAACCCACATATATATCCCGCCTTGCACGCCAGCGAGCAGCAGCAGCCAGTCGCTCGTCTTCATGAGTTATCACTCACTTCCGCCCACACTTTACTCCCCACATCACCACCGATACTAGCCCGGAACTCATTTACTCGCCTGCCAGCATAAGGACCACAAACGGGGGTGCCAAAGCCTGTGGCAGAACGGCGCCACTCCGTAAGGTTAATCCCTGACTTTAATTGCCACTCGTACTTTCTGCTTCTTAATATGCTGGTTATAGGTGAGTACTACTACATAGTACTCCCGGCCGGCCTGGCGACCTGCCTAGCTCGGTGTCGATAATCAACTCTACTGCTAGCTAGCTGCTCCTGCTCCCTCTTTTTTTTTTTTTTTTCAACAACGATGGATTTCAAACGTAAGATGTACGCAACCACGCCCAACCCCCCTGTCCCTGTCCCGCACCAGGAGGTATGCGGTGTGCTGTCTGCATCATGGCATAGCACTCGACACTTGTCGCTGTCATGATCGACATCGTTCTATATTACGAGCTCCGCTGCGCGCTCTGTGTGTTGTGTTGTGGTGTTGTAATACCGTGCTCACCCAGCCACAGGCGGCGGCGGTGAAGCTACATGTAGTTGTGGTTGTGTGTATCTCGGTGTCTGATCTACTGCTTGCAATGCAGTGGGGGATTTGACATGATGTTGCGACGTTTGCGGATGTGGTGTCGTGATATGATGGGGTCGGGTTATATAAATTAGGTGGGGTTAGGTTGTTAGGTTTGACGCTGCGGGCCTTTGGTTTTCGGGGGTGAATATGCTGGATATGGATGTTGATACTTATATACGTGTAGTTGTAGCTGTGGTGGTGGTGGTGGTGGTGGTGGTGGTGATTGCGGTGGCGAGTGTTGTAATGAGTGAGAGAGCACTATACGTACATGCACTATCGATCTGGCAAGAACCCATCACTAGCACACCTACCCGCTCCCGCATCCCCATCTCACCCATCCCATCCCATCCCATCCCATCTCATCCTCCCACTACTCCAACCATCCCGCCATCTTACGTCCACACACCCCACTTCTCCCAACTCCATCCCGCCAATGACCCGCCAGCCCACTTAACCGCAATCAAACTCGCCGGCAGCTGGTTATATAATTCCAGTCACGACAAATCAACATCCCATGCAGTGTGGTCCACGATGGCGAAGCACTTCGTTCCTCGAGCTGACACGAGGTATACTCTTCAACGAGGCCGATGTACCTCGATACATGGTATATTCCTCGAGTTGACTCGAGTCAACTCAATATATACCGGGCTCTTCGGACTTCCAGAACAGAGATACTCGTGTAATATACACCCCGAGTGATCGAACCAGATAAGAACTATTGAGAACCCACTGCCAAGGCCTACCTCGAGGAGCATCGAGACAACTCGAGGCATAGGTGTAGATATATGGCTCGAGGCAACCCAAAGCAGATCTCCTCGGGGGGAGAGGCAACTCGTCGTGGGCCACACTGAATCCCATGCATGAGCCATTGTCCAAGACGAAAAAAAAAAACCGATTTATTAGCACACATATCGTGGTATTAATACACCCCCCAATAAAAAGCGATTTAATGGGCGTACCTAGCTGGTTTTGTATTATAACGTTAAACTATATAGCGATAGGTTATCTGGCCGGTATTTTTTAACGCCGGAATTGTAAGGTCCTACAATCTATCCCCTTCAAAGATTGGCAGCTCGGCCGGTCGAGGCCGAGCCTGAAACAGAGAATGCGAGTACTCGTAAATTCCTGACGTTTCTGAGCACGATTGCTATTGCATACCATACAAAAAAGCGCCAAATCCACCTTTTTGCATGTCATGCAATATTGGTCGTGTTCGGAAACGCTATGAAATTACGAGTACATGTAGCTAGCTACAGATTCGTCTGTCTCGACTATGAAGCTCCAGGCTTTGGCTTTCCTGTTTCTGAAGAACAGGTGGGCTGTGTTTGGGGCCGGGGCGGGTGGGTTTTTTTTTTTTTTTTTTTAATTTATTTTCGATTGGGAGAAAGTGTTGGGTTATATTATCCGTGACCGGAACTATTATATCACGTTCCATATCACACACACCCCGGCCGCGGACGCAATACCATAGAATCATGCAGAATCACTCGGCGCGCTCTCTCTTTATGTATCCCGGCGCCCCATCTCTTGATTCCCCTTGGTTTCCGTACCGCACCGCTGGCCATACACCGCCACTATCTGCATTTCTCTTATAGCTACATGTACCTACATAGGCATTCAGTGAAAAATCGCCCCGTTGCAAACGAACGCCTTAATAGTAATATATATACTGCATCACCTATACACCCACCCACCCACCCTCATTCTCTATTAATCCCCACCGCCACCGCCACCACCCCGTCCAGCCCACCGTCCGTAACTGTCCAAAACAGCCGCCTAATGCAATAATAACCCATATTCATACTAGCCCGTCATAGTCCATGGATCCGATCCGTCACAGTCCATCACTCACCACCCCCCCCCCCCCCCGCGCCTCTCTCCTCTCCCCTCTAGCTCTCCTCCTCTCTCCTCTCTCCTCTCTCCTCTCCTCTCTCCTCTCTCCTCTCTCCCCTCTCCTCTCTCCTCTCTCCCCCCTCTCTCTATACATATAGCTAGCTACCCCCTGATCTTTGGTTTTCCGTAACGGATCGACCGCCCATACATCGGCATGATGTTTCTCTAGCTAGCTACATGTAGTTATAGTTGTAATGCATCGCGATATCGCCTGTACGTATGCTCCACCCCATACACTGTAACTCTTCCAGACCACCAGCCAGACCCGCGCGCGGTTTCATCGCAAGCAAGCAACGAACAAAAAAACGGTACCATCCAGATCGAGAACAGGCACGCAATACCGGCATAGCCCATCACAGCCCATCACTCACCCCTCTCCTCTCCCCTCCCCTCCCCTCCCCCCCTTCCACCTCCACCTCCACATATCACCAACACACACACAGGCACCTCGAAAAAAAAAAAGTCAGGGCCCAAATCCATTTATTTCATATATCAACCACACCACTCAAACCACAAACCACGACTCACCAACTCACGAATAACGAATAACAAAAAGAACAACCAACACGACGCAACTACAGCGAGCTAATAATACATGCCTGTGAAAAGCACCTCCCACCCCCCAATTGTCTTCACCTTTCATCATACCCCTACCTAGACCCTTCCTCATCCCCATCCCCGTCAACTTCATCTTCATCTGCGTCTTCGTCATTCATAACCCCCCCCCCCCCCTTCCCCCTTCACTAGCACTCACGAAATAGAAACGAGTACACGATAAAAGGAACCGGACTGCATAAAAGAACAAGAACAATGACAAAAAGCCGACCGACCCGTTCAATACCACTATAGGAAAACACGATATTGTGGAACAGACATAAAAAAGAGAAGACTACAGACACTCACTCACTCACTCACGTACACAGGAAACTCAAAAACAATATAACAACCAAAAGAAAAAGTCGAAAGCGACGTACGTCAAAAAGAAAAAAACTAAGAGTTTAAAAAAAAAGAAAAAAAAACTACAGAAAAGAACGACCACAAAAAAAGCCGCCACCTACAAACAAAACCCACCCCCAAAAAAAACACCTACCTGCCCACCTCCGACCCCACCACATCCCTATACTTCCCCGCCAACCCCGGCCACCACTCCCGCCCCCTCTCCAACACCTCCAACACCAGATCCACCTCCGCCCGTCCCCCGCGCCCCTCCCGGCACCCCACGGCCAGCATCCGCCCCGCCACAAACAGCACACCGCACAAAAACGGGTTCGCCAGCGCCCCGCCCTCCTCCGTCGCGCAATTGACCAGCATCTTCAGCCCCGCCATGATATTGCCGACGGCCGCCTGCGCGGCCTCGGAGCCCGGCTCGTGCAGCAGGATTGTGCACACGTGCAGCAGCAGGTTGAGCTGCGCGACGTGCGTGAGCTCGCTGCTGGGCAGGTTGGCGATGGAGCGGTACTGCCGCGGCAGCGACAGGCGGAAGCGCGCGAGGGTTGTTTCGAGCGCGTCGAATTGCGTGCGTGTGGGCGGGTGTGGGGAGTGTGTGTGCGCGATGATGTGGCCCATGAGGATGCACAGCTTGCGGATGTAGTGGTATGGGCTTCTCGGAGGCGCAGAGGCCGGCGTCGGCGTGATGAGATCCGAGAGCTGGTGGGCAAACGGTTCAATCACGATGTGCGACATTTGCTACAACAAAGATTCCAGTCAGTATATCATTACCACTACTCGTCACTCACGGAAAAAAAACATACCTCAATCTCGCCGCTCTGGAAAACAGCCTCGTCCACCGGAAAGTTGACGCAAAACACCCTCTCGTCGACGACCGTCGGCCACCCAGGCGCCCACGAAACAAGCCTGTCCAGCATGAACACAGCCCACACGGCCCTGCGCCTCTCCTCCAGCTCCTGCTCGCTCCTCGCCAGCGGACCCACGCCCGCGCGCCCGCTGCGCCGCGGCGAGTCAATTTCGTGCAGCCCGAGCGGCGTGCACATGCGGTAGGCCTTCGCCAGGTGGACCCACAGCTCGGCCATCTCGGCGGTGACGAGGCAGTACAGGCAGATGTAGACAGCCGCCTGCACATTCAGGAGCGTAAAGTTGCCGCGCGTGACGGCGTTGTCGAAGCCACGCTTTGCGGCGGCGGCCCACGGCGCGGACAGCGCCGACACGGCCGACGACGGGTTGATGTGCGCGGCGAGCGAGGCCAGCACGTACGAGAGCGGGTTGGGCCGCGAGAGGGGGCCTCCGGCGGCGATGTCGGCCATGATGGCGGTGCGGTACAGACACGGCATGAACGGGTGGATCTGCTCAAAGAAGGTCTCGATGAGCTCGGCGAGGGCCGCCGGCGAGGGAAAGTCCGCGTCCGGGGTGTCGCTCTCGACGATGGCGGGCTCGGGCCATACCAGCTCGTTGT